TGAGCACGCTCTGTTGCTGTTCCTGGACTTCATTATCCAAAAGACGTTTCAAACTGCGGGCGGACGGGATATTGAGCTCTGATTTGGCGAGCCTGGTGTATTTCAGAAGCTCTTTGAACTCTGGGTGCTCAACAGTGCGGAATGGGAGACGGGTGGTCGTGATAAACTTGAGGATCTTCTTCTGGAGGGTTATCTGGCTGAATTCTGTGCTTGTTGATTGACGCGGCTAGGTAGAGATAAGGAAAATTAGTGTATAATATAGATTAGATCTAGGATAGACTTACCATCTCTCGGAGAAGCTGGTCTATGCTTTGCTTTGTAGTCTTCCGCGGCTGATTGCAGTACGCACTATTAAGATGGTTCTTCATGGGAGAGGGACCAGAACGATTGAACCTTGGGTGAACAACCACACTTTGACAGCGGTTGCACATAACCTTAGGCTCGCCAGTCCGCGCATTTGCAACCTGATCAAATGAGCTCCAAACATCAGACTTTTTGTGTATAGTATCCCATCTAATAGATTTCTGCAGTTCTTTCTTGCTGCCAAACTCAGTCATTAGCCACCATTTCACAAACTGTATCCGAGACGTCTCCATCATTGGATCGGTTTTGTCGCAGTTGTAGAGAATATAAGATGGTTGAAAGAGTTTGCCGACGCGCTGTAGTAAGTCGGGGGCACGAGGATATCGAGGGGGAGGGGGAGTGTCTGAGACAGGAGTCGATTGCGCTATGCTTTGACTGCTTAGAGCGTCTGAGGATTCATCTGACTGTGGAAAGTCTGAATCAATGAATGAGTTGGCGTACCGAGATGCCTCATATTGGCTCCTTGATACTTGGGAATAAGACATGACGAGCAGAAGACCAGGTACCAAGTATAGAACGATCGAGTATACCAGGAATTTAGCAGAAAAATTGGTGCGTAGGCAAACGTGTGCGCCCGCGATGTCGACGTGCTCACGATAATACTCGATGCCTATTGGGTATGTATTAAGCGGATGTGGAGACTCAGACGATAATTGAGGATAATCCGCCGATAATCCGCCGACTATCTTCGGATTATCCAACAATTATCCGCGTGTCACCAACACCAAAAGAAATGCCAAGTCCGCCAGTTCCAAACTTCGAATCTAAATTGCGCCTTACTTTTGTGTGTAAACATGCTGAGTAAAATGAACATATAAATGAACTGCGAACTAGCGAATCTATCCATACTATTCTCAAGGTCAAAACTGTACTATTGGTGGATCTGGATAACTTATCGAATTAAGACTTTACAGGAAAATGTACTACATTCCTTCGGCATCAAACATATATCTCTGCCAAACCACCACCCATTAATTAATATTTTAGAATTACAGGCGAGTACAACTCGCTCGCTTTATAGTTAAAACCAATTTGTATGCAGAAGACAAAGACATTTACTTACGAATACAATACTGTTTCTTATTATTACCCAGGAGAAGTGAAGGAAATAGGGGATGAGTACTGTTATGACCAAACATGTAAAGATTCAGATGTAAGATAGTGTTTGGTCAGCTTCATAAGTATCACCTGATGGTCCAGAATAGGATATATTAGCGAGTTTTATGCTAGTGCGGATAGTTTGCTGATATCCAAACTATCGTATAGATATCCGCGGATATCTGCAACGACGATGATGATAATGATCCATTATCCGCAATCCGCAATTTGCGGATAACGATAACGGGTCATTATCGTTATCGTACGATATGCCGCAGCCTAATGGGTAGTATCTAATTAATGGCTTGAAAACATACTTGTCCTAAAAAATAACCCTTGGCCACCCAACCGTCGGGTTTTCGCCTAAGCACTTCGCCACGCACGACTGTTCAGCACTTCATGAATTAATCCGGATTTTCGATAATGCTTTTGCTTTTTCAGTTCCACAAGTGTACTGCATACCGGATACCATCTGTCGATATAAGCATGGTTCAACGCAGGGTAAATAATCACCTACTTCCATATCCCATTAGTAATTGTGAACTGCTGCCACTTTAGATAGAAATGGAACCCCCTTCAAATATGCCTGAGGCCCAGCTTGTGTCAGATTTGCATCGATAATGTGACAGGAGTTGTCGTCGTTCATGTGAGACTTGCCGACGTGACAGGGGTATTCCTCATCGGTCTTGTCAAACTGGCCAGAGGATTGTCCGCGCGCATGCTTAGTCCTTCGATGGAGGTAAGGGCGTACGCCTCTGACGGCTTGGTGTGATCTAGGCAGGATGGTTGGTTATACCTGCGCTCTTCACCATCAGACACCACGAGTAGAGCCGATGGCTGGTAGTACGAATTCAAGAATGTAGGAAGATTGGAGGCATAAAAGTATTCAGTCTTGGGGCCTTCAAACGAATGTCAGCGGGGCACTGCGCAGCCCAGTATTGGATGGTATTTCACTCAGCTCTCTCTGACTTGCCTATGTCTGAGATTCAAGGCCTGCTGGCGCTCGCTGTATGCCGCTGAATCCCCACGGCATGGACTCATATTGATCCCAGTGACATTTGTGGAGTTTGGATTAGGCCTGACAAAGCTCGCTGCAATGGTATTACTGTTGTAGGATTCAAAGGAGAGGTAGGACTGGACATGCTGGGTTCGCAAAATGCTGCAAGAGCTGAGGCCCCCTTTCGTTCGTCCAGGGGATCGAGGGATTTCTCAGGAAATCTGGGAACCTTCCAGTTCTCTTGAATTTTTCGCGAAAGGTCAGCATTTGATTCGTAATGAAACGGAAAGTCCATCGGACGCTGTTGGCTTTGGCCATCCAGAAGCTCTGGATCGGGGCCTTCGTCGCCTTTTAGAGACAGATCGGTGAGGTTGACTGACTATTGAGGGTATGTCTGAGGTCTGTAAAATTGGGTCCTAGGTACGGATTGAGAGCCAGCATTCTCTTAAGTAGCCCAGCAGGGATAGAAAGGTGTAGGCATGGTAGAACTTAATGTGGTACTGTTAGTGTCCATGTTTAAGCGACACACCAGCAAGAGACAACCTCAGGATGATAGTCCGCATTTAATACAGGCGAGAGAACAGCAGCAAAGTGAGAACACACTAGACTTAAACTAAGCAATGGCTGCATGGGTTGAGGTACAATTTCTGGTACCCTTGACGCACAGTCAGTGCTCGCGCGACGATTGGATGCCATAAGAGCAGTCGTCGTTTGACGAGGCTGCCCTTCTTTGCCCAGCTCTGCTCCACTTTCTAAGCCAGTGAGTATGTGAATGGAGATTTGACTAGAATTGGAAAGCCACGTTTATTTCCGGTGGTCTTTTTCCATTATATTTTGCATAAAGAAACGATGTGTGGTTCCTTTCGTTTCTCACATTTTTAGTTTCTCCGGATGAGATTGCTTTACGCCAGGAAATATGATTAGGGAACATGGCTTTGTATGTACAAGTCATAGTCTAGACGATGACAAATAACATGGTCGAATAGCTCACTCCGATGGCTTGTCTAAATGACCTAATAGAGCTGCACTGTATTGTGACCTTAAGGTCCGAAAAATATGCCCTGTCAATAAATAGCTTTGGATCCCCTTCTCTCGAAATGGCATAAGTCATCAAGGATTTCTCTACTGAGCAATATACTGAATGATACAGATTCTCATCCTCAAAGCAGGTCCCCAAAAGAGCGCAGCAACGACGCTTATAGCGCAACAAGTGTGGCATCTGGGCACAAGAGAGGCAATCGAGCAATAAAGCGGCAGCACAAGTCCAATGCTCGAATTGAATCCCTGGTCCTCTTCCTGCCAGGCCCTCGGAAAGTACCAATACCGGTCCTGGGTCAATCGCAGAGCGTTGGCCAAAAACCAAAAACAGTCTCCCTGAACAAGTACGCGCATTGTATGGCAAGCAAACTCACGGATCGTGCTTTGGTTATGCTTTCACTCCTCGCTTGGCATTTTGACTCGAGAATGATCCCTCTCTCCCGGTCGCTGATTCAATTGTTCGCCAAGCCTGACGACCAACTTGAATCGATTTGCACCTGGTTCACCTCTACCCCACCAAAATGTACGGATCGCTCTCGTTGGCGGACTTCAAAGAGAAACTGAGCCATTTATTAGGGTTTATATAATGGCACGTGATCGAAGGCGACGCGGCGTTGTATATCTAGTTTCCACTTTGACACATCAGGCTTTCCCTATCATGACGCTCCAAAGGAGCTTTTGAATATATAACGTATTTCCCAAGCGAGCTGGCCACCCAAACGAGCTGGCCACCCCAAAACACCATAGTAAATGCGATAAATTACAACATAGTATCGCAACAACGGTAGTTTATAGGGACTTTCCCTTGAAATCTAACGCTCTTTAGGTGGTATTTAGTCTCTAACGGGAGTTTAAAGAATTTCTATAATTTAATAATTGAGATATAATCAAATATTTATATTTTTGGCTCCTAGCCAACGTAATTTTTGATACCGTAACAATGTAGGTTTCAGATTTCGTTAAAGTTGATATATAGTGCTTAAAAGCCTTATCAACATCTATCGGCAAATAATAAAATAAAATAAAAACGTGGTTGTTGAGATATCAGTGTAGAATATCTCGTATTTACTATGGTGTTTTGGGGTGGCCAGCTCGTTTGGGTGGCCAGCTCGCTTGGGAAATACGTTACATACTAATGTATTTCGTAGTAGAGTCATTCTCGAAATTGCCTTGACCAGTACACACTGTTTGACTATCTTTCTTGGCCCCACTGCCAAGCCTTCAGCGCGGATCATCTATTGGGCCCACCCCAATAAGTTGCGGTCCGGTGTGATCTCCCCGAGCTTGTACAGTGACGCTCAAAACATGGGGCCCTCAATTTGATGCGTCCAGCCTAATAGATGATCCACGCTAAAGGCTTGGCAGTGGGGCCAAGAAAGATAGTCAAAGGGTGTACTGGTCAAGGCAATTTCGAGAATGACTGTACTGTACATGGTATCCATACTTACTGTGCTGGCTCCTTATGCCAAGCTGAGGAACGCTAATAAAATGTTATATGTGGAGTTCAATATAGCCCGTTCTGCGTCAGTGTATGTGCCATTGAACACCGGAGGGGGGTTAATGTCCCGGCGTTGATTGCCGAGGAGAATACCAGCTGGCTGAGGTCGTGAACGGCGCTGGTTGGGAGGGTGCCGTCAATGAAGTAAGTGCGGATTGCCTCTATTAGGCCCAACGACGCAACGCTGACTGTTGTATGGCCTGGGCCTCGTCTTGTTACCAACCGGGACGCTGTAGGAAGTTGACTCCGCAAACGCTCGGCAGAGGCCAGTGGAGTCACCGGGTCATCTTCGCCATTGACGATCAGCACCGGGGTGTTGTGCTCAGTGAGGATGGAGTTTGCAACGGGGAGTTTCGAGGCTCCCAAGTTCGGGATTCTCGGGCGAGTGTCCGGAAAGTGGCGGCAGAAGGATAAGGGAGTCACGTCAGCGTTCAGCCACGGAGTATCCTCGCTAAGAGAAATGTTGAGTACTAGGGCAGCGACCTCCGCCAAGGTGATTTCACTGGATGGTGCATTGTCTATACACTGCAGGGGCCATTCAGCTAGAGACCCAGAGGCTGGAGCGCTGGAATTGCCTGGCGGGCTGGCAGCGGTTGCATTAAGAATGGCGACCATTAGAGTCACATCTCCTTTCTCAAGAGCGCTCACAACCGTGGAGATAAGGGGCCAAGTAGTTGGAACTCGGGAAAAGGACCACATGAATGCGCTGAATATGCCAACAGTGACGGAGAACCCTTGTGAGACGGCAATGGGATGTTCGTAGAGTGATTCTTGTAAATTAGCAAGTCGAGTGGTCAGGTCGGCAGTTACATTTGCTGGAGCAGTACTCAGAGCACAGCCAGCTGCACCAGCTTGTTCGCAAAATGACACCAGATCGTTGATAGCATCTCGCACAGAGAGCTGGTCGTTGGGAAGCTGGGCGATATAGGTCTCAGCATTGGCAGTGGGATCAAAAACGCCGTCCAGGACAATCTTTCCCGCCCTTTTCGGGTAGGTCTGAATAAATTCTACCCCGAAAATGGTCCCGTAGGAGAGACCCCAGTAGTTCAAATGGGCATCTTTGCCGTCCAATGCATCGACAATAGCTGCCATGTCACGAACAACGTAGGCCGCACTAGACGTGTACAAAGCTGTCGAATTGTAAGATGCGCATGCGGCGGCAAGCTGCGCAGTCACGCTGTCGAACTCCTCCATCGCAGCGTTGTAAGAGGGCATGTAGTATTGGTTGCTGAATTGGCCGTACGCCACCTCTGCCGCGGCTGGAAGACTTTGGGACGCTTCATACTCCTCTCCCGCGGTAGCAAAACATTGCAGGACGGGCTGAGCAGAACCCACGCCGCGTGGATCCCATCCAATTATATCGTAAAACCCTCCCGTGATGTTCGAGATTGCTTCACCAGCACCGTTCAGGACGAAGGAGACACCAGAGGCACCGGGACCACCAGGATTTGTGAGAAGTGAGCCTTTGCGCTGGGATGCCACTACCGTGGCGTTGTAACGGGCAAGCGGAATAGAAGCTGACATCCAGTTTAGTGGCTCCGCATACTGAAGCGGCACTCGGAGGGTTGCGCAATCCAACGCTGGATTTGAAGGACATGGTGACCACTGAAGGCTGGCAAGAGCCGTAGATGCCGACAGACATCCAGCAAGAAGGAAGGACTTGGCAGACAAGAGAGAGGACATCTTGTGTTCACTGGCCAGGTTGTTTGAACAAAGACGGCTGGGATCACGATTCTTCTCCTTATATCCTCCGTCGGATCCTGTAGTAGCGCGAAGCGAGAGAAACTAAAAGTAAGACATTTACGGATATTTGAGTTTAGCACTACGGAGTTAACTTTTGTCGGAACAGTAAATGACCGTATAGACTAAGTATGTTGCCCATGGTGCATTTTAGGTCTAGCGGTATTATGCCCCATATTTATGCGACAACTTTCTTAGCTGGTCGGAACATCGTTCACAAAAACAACAGGCAGCCGTGCAGACCGCTTCTGCGCATATTTGGATGTGGGCGACTATGTTTGTGTCGATATCCTGGGAGTCACACCCACAGCTACAGCTAGCTAGGCCGGTAAGCCACGGGCGAGGCCGGCAGTGGAGAGGAGTCCGTCGGTGCACCAGTCAGCAGAGGAGGTTCCCTGGCAAGCGAGGAAGCCAAAGCCGTCAATGGCCACAGAGCTGCAAGCTCGTGGATCTCCGCCACGAGAGAGTTGGGGTGACAACCAATCGCTGTACCTTGCATTTGACGCTATTTATTTTCCTGTCTCTTTTGGGTTTTGGAAGTCCCTCAGTCTCCTGCTAACAAACCATGGACTCGCTCTTATAACGCTAACCTCCGCTTGCGCCTCATTTTCGGCTCTGTCTTCCATTTGCCTCTTAAAATTCGCCTTCCCTTCCTTTGAGACTCTGATTTCCGCTTTTTCACTCTTTTACTCTTTTATCTGCACATAGACCTTTCCGTCTTTACATAGCATCCCATCACCATGCGTTTCTTCACTTCCTTCGCCGTCGCCGCTCTGGCCGCCATTGCCTCTGCTTCCAGCACGGACAACTCCTTCAACATTCCCACCGATGGCTACACCTTCAAGGTCGGCGAGCCCACCACTCTGACCTGGACTCCCTCCACCAGCGGCACCGTCACTCTGCGCTTGCAGTGGGGAGCCGTGACAACCGCCAACTCCGGTAGTGTCATCGCCTCCAACATCGCCAACGACGGCAGCTACACCTGGGATGTGCCCTCCAACCTGGCTGCCCAGCCTGACTACACCATCGAGATTATCTCCGACGATAACGACAACGACTACAACTTCCTGCCCCGCTTCACGGTCGAGGGCTCGACCGTCTCCGTCTCTACCTCCACCGCCAGCAAGACCTCCAGCGCCTCGTCTGAGTCCTCCAGCTCCGCCTCCACCAGCTCCCAGACTACCATGGCCACCTCCAGCTCGGCTGCCAGCACCTCCGCTAGCACCACCGACAGCTCCAGCTCCAGCACTGCCTCCTCCACCAGCGCCAGCTCCAGCGCCGCCAGCTCCTCGGCCTCCCAGTCCGCCGTGCCTACCACCAACGCCGGTGTCGCTAACCGCGTCTCTGGTGGCCTCCTGGCCGCCGTCGCTGGTGCCATCGCCATGCTGTAAATTGATCCCATGTCAGACCATGCCCGTGTCCATGTCTCGGCACATTTCGATTGCCATTTATTGATAATATTTTCTTGTCTTGGACGCTGTACCTGAAACAGCTCTCCGCTTTTGCCTCGGCTGCCATTGGCATATTGTACAAAATACCACCCCGATAACTGCTCCGGCTTTCGGTTATTGTGTTTATTAGTTTTTCTTTTTATGTTTATGCTTAGGCTAAGCGTGTTTATTATGATAATATTTTTGGAATATCCCTTGAATCTACGAATGCTTTATTTCCGGCCCCTTTCCCATGTTATTGGCATTCATCATCGGGCTTGGGTCATATACAGCACCAAAAAGCCCATAGCCGCCACCATCTTTACCAAGAATGGTCAGCAAATGTCACAAAAAGCTCTATAGGATTGCGTGCACCATACGGATCCATAAGAAGACTGGCAAGTCCTGGGCACCAGGCGGGGCATAGAGGTTCAAAAACAGACAGTCTTCATCTCCGGCGCCGGAATTGAATCCATAGACGGCTGGTGTCTTGGCAGCTCCTGATTGCGGGCACATCGGCGGCTGCTGCACCGCTTGCGTGATATGAGTGTTGTTCTGTACTGGAGGCGCAGGCGCCTGCCAGCCCAGGTTTCCTATTGGAGGGGCGGCATATCGGATGCTGTGTAGTTTTAGCATTTCACCGTGCTATGAATCCTGCGACAGACATGGAACTCGACCTACCTTTTCCAGACATTCAGCTCGTAGATTGAGTCATAGTACCCTTCATAGGTCGAATAACCCAGATCAACAGTGAGACCTGCGTTGGCCATGCCTGCCAAGATGGCAGAGGCTGTCGTGAGTAGTAAGGGCTCTGGAACTCTCATTATTGTTAACTCTCGACATCTGGACAGGTAAGTCAGGGAAGAAAGTAGAAAGGAGAGTGAGAGTTCGCAGGCTGTGTCGTACCCACCAAGCTACGTGGGAGGGCTTGTATGAGAGCCTCTTGAGTAGTACAGTATCATAACTGTACACCGCCTAGCCCCGCCCATACTACGATCACTTCGGCGTCTTGCGCTCCGCGCCAAAATCACCACTGCCCTTTCCTATTTTTAGGCCAAAATGCCCTGTTCGCCCAGCCAGATTACCTGTACGCCCTCCATGCGGCCGCAACCAGGAATTGGACTCTTATACCAAGTACCTGCGACTTTGTGTGTGGTCAGGAATAAAATACTACTGGCAGAAAATTCTTGGCGCGGGAGAAAGAAGGGGGAAACGCAGATTTTAGACACTGCATTGTTGTTGGGTGTGTTACCCGATGGGTAGGTTCACTTACCCGGTATTTTGAAGAATATCCCTCCTAACAATCAAATATACCTTTCAAAAAGCCAATAAGCGAGATTAAAATGCTCCACTTCCTCACTCGGGTTTTCCAAAAAAGTTTAGCGAAAGCCGTTCGCAGTCCAATCCTTTGAGGCCATTACGACAATCTTCTCGCAGAAGTTGACCATGAAGTCGCAAAAGACTCTATTCAGAGACTCATGACTATCGAAGGTCTTAGAAAGGGGTGAGTCCTGCAACGGCCCCATCAAAAGCACGAACGTGCTGCTAAACGTTTTTGTTGGGCTCAAGATAAGTAACTCTCAAAATGCTGATTGTGACCGGGTTAGCTCAGAAGGCGTCAAAAAAAATTCAGCGGGTACCAAAAACTTCTGACTCATCCTGGCACCTAGTGAAGCTTACAGTGTGCCAGAATTCTATAGTAGGTAACTTTTAGTGGAATGGGATTCAACTAGGGTTGAACTTTTGTCCAACCCTGTATAATTAATTAAGATATAGATACCTAAAGTAAACATAATAGCTCAGCGGGTGCCAAAATATTTTGACACTTGGTGACCTCTAGCACTGGAGCGGGTATTAGGCTTAGTCATATTCTTTTTGACACCCGCTGAGCCGTTTTTTGACACCCGCTGAGCTGGGTGCCTAAACTAGTTCTACACTAGTTGGCCTCTTTCCCTGGATCAGTAAGACAGTGGCTTGAATGGCTTTAATAAACCGTGGTATGCGCCAAGAGACCCTAGTGCCGGAGTGCTTTTGTGAATTATCAAAGGATTACGATTACCCCTCCTCCTGAAAATTAGCAACGCTTCAGTGCTTGATGCAGCTTCAGCTATAGGGGGGTGATATCAAGCGAAAGCCTTGTTGATTCGACTCCATGGACCTTTCCACTTCCAAGGCTATGGTAACTGTCACGTCTTGATATGATGGCGAGCTGAAGTGGATCCGTCGATCGGTTTCTGTGCATCGGAGCACAAAGACGCGAAAGCACCCAAGTAGATCCTTACAACGCTGCTTAAATTTAGGAATAATACAATGAGGGTATAGAACTTACCAGTGAGTTGACAATAAGAGACGGAGAAAGCGTCCCAAGTATCCAGCCTATAAGTTACTCATTGGTTTCGTAATCCATCAGAATTGGGGACCTGCTAGGCCGTACAAAAGAGACCCAGGGGGCAAAAGAATCCAGGAGAGATAGCCGAGCCGCAACGTCGGCCTTTATTATTTATTTGTGCACAGAATTATTCGCACAAGTTTGAGAGACAATGACATTAAATGAGAGAGGGGTAATTCCTGGCCGATTTAACCGAGAACAATGAGATATTTATTATTCCCTTATTCAAAACCAATGTGAAGCCTGTATAAATGCACATGTGGAGTTGCAGCTTTGGTCAGAGCTGACAGGCTGTGCCAGTTAGATTAGAATCCTCGTATACAAACATTTTTCGCCACATTCGATGGGATCAAGCCATGTGGAGCTCTTGCATAGAGTTTCCTGTACTGCGCCCTGCTGACTGCAGAAGAGGCGGAATTTATAAATTGAACAGACCTGAATATTGTCCATGGTTGTAAAGAATGACTAAAGTGGGACGAAATACTAAAGACAACAGCAGAAATGCTTCGAGGGTAGCGAGCGACGTGAGGAAGGAAAGGGGGAGAAAAAAGAGACGAAACGAAAAAGGGGACCGAGAAACTTCATTTATATCAGGAGGAGGAGCGGCGAATGGCACGGAGGGTACTGCGGGTAGACTTGGGCGGCAGATAGAGTTGAGAGTGGTGAGAGCGTACGGTGGAGAAGGGACTCGAGAGGCCAAGCATGCGCCAGCCGCTCGGGCCGCAACGCTGCCTTTCATCCAAAGCTTAAATTTTTTTCTTCCGTGAACGTGGTTCCCCAGTGGCGCTGTCGGGTTTTACATGCCCAAAACCGCCGCGATTCCAGGGCCTCCACTAGAATATTTCATGTACTTTCTCCCCAGCTCAACTTTGACGGCCAGCGTTTGTGCTTTGCGCTCCTCGTTACCATGGAAACATTATGTTTCGGCCCGATAAGTTTATCTTGTGGGGCAAATCGGACAGATGAGGGGCGTTGACGCTAGAGACTCTTCCCCGAACTCTATTATGATACATGTTAATCTATTTTAGGTTTTAGCACCTTTCAGTGGGTGTACTGGTGCAATACGGTGGGCGCGAGCCCGCAGCGCTGAAGTAACTCGATGGGTTCCACGAAGCACATAATTGGATGTATGCGGCTCCAGGAGTGAAGCAAATTGGACTTTTGTCCTCGGCCGCTCTGTCCAATGCCTGCTGGCCCACCACCAGGCATGCGTCGCAACTCGGGCAGCGAGATTGTTCGATTCGTTGAGCCACGGGTGATCTTTCCACAAGGTTCCAGCCCTACAAAAGCTTCGAGAAAGCTTGTCAACTTTGCACTAGGAAAAGGCAAGGTCCGCTGCTGGCGTTTCACACCCACTCTCGCTTTGCTTTGGAGGACTCTGACAAGCCTGACAAGTTCAAGCAGAGCCCGCCCCTAAGTACGTTATCACCCCCAAGTTTCTCCGTATCTGTGATCCCGAGAAAGTGTAATGGAGGAGATATCTGGGATGAGCAGGAATACAACTATATAACAAAACGGGATGCCCGAACCTCTGCTGACAACCACATTCTTCCCCAAACAGCGCTCAAGGCTAACGACGTCTCTAAGCGTGGCAAGAAGAAGACCAGACTGCTGTGGGTTTTTATTATCTTTCTGTATCTCTCATGCGCTAGACGATGAGAACGCTAAAAGATCGTGCTTATCTCCCGAGAGAGATCATTCTCCTCATGGCGGAGAATCTCAACCCTTGTGACCAATTATCACTCTTACGCGCCGTTCCTGACCTCGCCCGAGTCTTGACGTTCCGACACACTTCTATTCAGGATGAAGAAGGTAATACAATCTTGCACCTTCTCGCAGAAGAAGCTGAGGGCAGACTGAAAGAGCTGCTATTAGCGAAAAGCAGTACTCAAGTGGACCCGAAGAACAAGAACGGTCAGACCCCACTGTCTCTTACAGCTCTGTATAGACGTGAAGCGGTGGTGAAGCTGCTTCTGGAGCGAGACGATGTGGAGGCGGACTCGAAGGATAAGTACGGTCAGACACCACTGTCGTGTGCTGCTTTGAATGGATATGAAGCGGTGGTGAAGCTGCTTCTGGAGCGAGACGATGTGGAGACGGACTCGAAGGATAATAATGGCCGGACACTACTATTACGGGCAGCTGAGTGCGGACGGGATGCGGTGGTGAAGCTGCTTCTGGGCCGAGATGATATTGACGCGGACTCGAAGGATAAGTACGGTCAAACACCACTGTTGTGTGCTGCTTTGAATGGACGTGAAGCGGTGGTGAAGCTGCTTCTGGAGCGAGACGATGTGGAGGCGGACTCGAAGGATAATGATGGCCGGACACCACTATCATTTGCAGCTGGGGGTGGACATGAAGCGGTGGTGAAGCTGCTTCTGGAGCGAGACGATGTGGAGGCGGACTCGAATGATAATGAGGGTCGGACACCGCTATCGTACGCAGCTTGGGGTGGACGTGAAGCGGTGGTGAAGCTACTGGTTGTGCGAGATGATGTGGAGGTGGACTCAATGGACAATAATGATCGGACACCACTATTATGGGCAGCTCGGTATGGAAGTGAAGCAATGGTGGAGCTTCTCACCTCCTTGTCATAAATACCCAGCACAAATTCAAGCAAATACAGTATGAGAGAGGATGATCAGGCTCCAGAATAGCAGGAGATGATACCTGACGTAACGTTCCAAGTGAGAAGCGATGTAGTCTCATGGCTTAGTGGAGAGACACAACCACTCTGAGGATATTGCTAATCCGCTGAGGTCTCTTACCCTTAAAGGAAGTAGTGTGTGTGTATATTTTACGACCGTGGCGCATGACTTGAATGCTATCCACTATCCACTATCCCCGATCGGGGCAAAGGACTATCACGATAAACACGCCCGCAATGAAATGTCCTCATTCACCGCCAGACTCAATAAGACCATGTCTTGCTAGGGGTAAATAGCCTTGTACTGCCGGTCGATTACGACCGGCCACGTCCATATAAATGGGGCCCAGCAAGAAACCGCGGGTGCGCGCAGAAACCGGTTAGCACTTCGACCGGAGATAGAGACAGTCACAAAAAGGGGTAAGTCAGAATGGTGGAGTTTCGATTTGCGGATTGCTTTGGTGAATTATGAGTTCTGTATCTGTTGGACATGCTTGGATACCGCCAAGAGAGGTCTTACGACTTCATACATATTTGCCTACAGTGAACTACTGTACACTAAGATCAAGAGAAGCAAAAGATATATCTTTTAAGTATCAGCACGAGTAAGGCAAATCATGACCATAAGCAACTGCTTCTTCTGCCCAAATTCATCATGGGACGCGTTGCTTCGCGTAGCAGTCCGCCGCGAACCATACGGAAGAACCACAATGCAGACCTACAACTCGTACGGTGACTCCATCAGCCCGCCTCCTGGGCATGCGGACAGAAAACGAGCCCTGTCC